ATCTTGTGAACTATTGACATTTTTAAAGATATAAGCTCATCCCGATGTTACACTCGTCAAGACCTTTCATTTGAGTACCCACATCAATTTTTTCATATATTTGATATATTTATATATATATTATATATATGTATATATGAAAAATATATCAAAAATGCATGTGGGTACTCAAATGAAAGCTTTTGATGAGTGTAACATCGGGATGAGCTTACATCTTTAAAATATATATTATATATGTGTATATATGAAAAATATATCAAAAATGCATGTGGGTACTCAAATGAAAGCTCTTGATGAGTGTAATATCAGGATGAGCTTATATCTTTAAAAACTTCAATATTTAAGAAAGTACAGTGCAATTTAACAAAAATAATTATTTAATAAAACAAAATTTTATTTATTTATAGTTTACAAGTCACGGCAGTCTTATAGTGACTGCAAGATTGCTAATTATTATTATTTACTGCTTAATTTCACGCCAAATTCGGTTAAGTTCCGGTAGCTTAAATGGTAGAGCTTCTGACGCGTAATAATAGAGATCCGGGTTCAATTCCCGGCTAACGTCCGAAGCCCCATTTTTATTCGAAGTCATTCTTTGTTTTTAATGAATTTTCAATATTACGATAATTCATTTTTTAAATATTAATGGGATTTCAAAGATCTAATAAGAAAAGAAATAAAACTCCATTACGACTAATTGTGAAAATTTATAATTAAATTTTAAGTTGAAATATTAATTTTTTAATATTGCGCCTTTTGCAACCTTCATTTTTCATCAAACTTTGAATAACAATTTTACCATTTGATATTTTATAAACAATGAAAGTCATAATGTGAATTTACTGAAAAATACAAGAACTTAAAAAAAAAATTTTAATAAATCTACATTATACTTTAATTAATAATTCAACAAAAATTACCAAACTGGAAAAAATTGTTGCTATAACGTTGCAATTAAAATTTTCAATAAAAATAACGTCAAATAAAAATATTGAAAAATCTTTTATATCAAATAATTAATCTCTAAAACTATTATTACTATCTAGAAAAAAAAAAAAAAAAAAATAAAATAAATAAGTAATCACCAAACAGTCAATTTGCTATTTAAAAAAAGATATACAATTTAACAAATGGGAAGTGACATATTTCCGCTAACATTTTCTCGCCATTTCGACTGCACACCTACACACTAATACACATTCATCCTAAATACCAATATAAAACATCTATGACACTCTTATCCGAGTAGAAACATCGCGGATTTATTGCGGAATGAAATACCAGATTTATTTCACATATTATATTGTCAGCAATTTGATAAAACCGCACACCTTTGACGCATACATTTATTATCCACACAAATCTACATTGACACCCTTTTATTAAAGGAGCCGCAGTAGCCGATTCGTCAAAAAACTAATCGAGAAATAATTTGCAAAATATAATCTAATCTAATATAATCTAATCTAATCCCTTTAGTGGCATATACCGGGAGATCATTTAACTAGTACCGTAATCTTCGCAAAATGGACGAACATTCGTGACTCGCGTCAATAAAATGGTGCCCGTGGCCAGAGTCAAGGTGCTGGGATTTTATTTATACATTTATGCATCTATATCTGACACATATGTACACACAACTAAACCATTGGATGTATTATTGGCCTGGCGATACATGAATGCAGAATTCAAATATGTTCGCTTCACTTATTCATCTCAATGCATATATATATATATATATATATATATATATATATATATATA